GAAGCAAGAGATGAAGTCATGGTTTTCTTAAACACAATTGGCGGCATACGCATTAAAACCCTTTACATTAGGCTCCGTTTCCCAACAAATGTTACTTTGCGCCAGGATCAATAAAGACAAATGAATCATTTATCTGTAGACAGAAGAATACTCAAAAAATGGCAAATTAAAAGAAAACTAGAATTGAACAGAAGTATATGTTGAAAATCATAATAATTTCACACACATATTCTATGAGAAGAAAGCTGCGGTTTTCTAAGTTCAAAAAATGTTTTAATGGTGATCCAAATATTTAATACCCTTTCCCCTGTTACTTTTACTGAGTTTGCTCCTTTATCTTGACCATGCAATATGTAACCGATACGTCAACTCCTGTAGTTATATTTGTTTCTATTACCAGAACCTTAAAAATAATGGCCGTTAGAATAATGAATTATCTCCTTTAGCATTGCCTGTGGTAGCTTAGTTTCGCAAGTGGTGTTAGTTCTGCTTTGAACTGGTTGAAGCGGTGCTGCTAATGTTCCGAAGAATCACATCAGAATTCACACCTCTACAGGATGAATTGAAAATGGCCCTAAAATTATGTAAACCGCTGTACAGGGCTCAAAAGTCCGATCAATAAACCAATGTGTAGCTTCGTTGTCTAAGTAAATAAAAATGCGACGGGAGACTGGGACGAAAAGGATCGATAGCTGGAGTGTGTTATGGCCGTGGTCTGGACCTAGCTAGTCTCTTCGTGAAAAATAAAAAAAAAGAAAAGAAACAAGAACACTGATCTACTTTGCTTTTATTTCTGTACGTTTCAGTAAGTAGTAATATCCTATAAAAGACCACCAGTTGACGCCATCAGCCCTTGAGGAGTGACATCCACTGAGATGCAACCCGTTTAGATTGGATTGATGACAGTCACTGTACCACTAGGCGTCTTTGTATCCTTGAGCACAGCTGCTGTTTGGTTTTATGTCATTGTCTCTATCTCTTGTGGAGAACTGCATATCTCCACAAAAAGTTAACACCATGAAATACGGTTTGAAAATCTTATGATTAAATTGGATGATTATTGTGATAGAATTTGAACTTTTGGTACAATAGTTCAACATCTCATAAGCCAAAATCGAAAATGGCGGATACCAAAAAAAAAAAAAAAGGAAAAATAAGTAACAAAATGAATGAATTGAGAATATTTTTGGGATTCCGTCTCTTTACTCGCACAAGTCTCGAAACGAATAGATATAAAAATATTTGCCTGCAAATTGTCGGACATTTTACTTTCAACGACCTCATTTCTAAACTACTGTTTATGATACCTTTGTTTATTCAAACCGTCTCCAGCTGTCTCTCTATATCCATCAATTGCAATACGGTATTTATCTGTCTAGTCCGCCACCTCAAAATGTTGCGTACTCAGCGTATCTGATGTCACCTTCGAAGTCCTCCAGGTTAACTCTCAACGAAACGTTACCAGAACTCGCCTTTCAAATCTCCGAAGCCATTTTTGTAGGACGACCAATCTCGATAGAAATCAACAAAGCCGTTCAAACGTCTCTGAAAAACAGTCCAAGCTTTACCGTTCGTGTTCATGTCGCACAACACTTGTATGGGATTTCCGCCATCTGGATTGATAGTGTACACACCGCTAGATGTGACACCATCTTGATAAAGTAGAGCACAACTTTTGGGTTCTGTTGGTTGGCGAAAAATTTGATTTGAATGGTACCCTTGGACTATAGTAAAAGTAATTTATTTTTACCCAGTCATGGGGGAAGTGTTTCTCCTGATAATGAATGATTATTACGTTTGCAAAATACTAACAACAACAACAATCACAACAAAAAAGGAAATTTATTGAGGGGAGGGGTTGATCAACAAATATAGAAGTTGTGTACACCAAGTGCTCGAGGTGTGAAGTTTCTAATTTCGAGCGGTGAAAGCACTATTGTGCCGGTTTTCTTGGCTTTTTTACTTTGCGTCGTTATTGTCATTATTATTTCACTTTCTACTTTTAAGACGTTTAAGACCCTCTTTCATCGTTCAAGAACTGTTCCTCAGGCCCTCGCGGCAAGTATTTCATTCGAGGAGATATTTGACACGACTCACTAACTGCTGTTTTCTCTTAGGCCAACACACAGAAAGGTTCGATGGATCAGGGTCTGACTAATCGCTCTGACATAACCTCTCACCGGCAGGGTTGACAGGGGGGAGGGGTAACCGTTTTCAGTTACCTAAGTTAATGTGACCTGTTATCAAATAACTCAGCTTGGGCTTGATGTATGGTACCACTCCTGACAATTTCACAAATATGCTTGACATTCCCGCGGCAAACTTCTGATGCAGAGCACATCATTTGTGAAAGTAAGTTCTCGATTTTTTAAAGTCGGATACGTGTCTGCTCGCAGTTATTACGCTCAATAATTTATTAGGTGCTGTGCGTTCGGACTTGGACAACCATAATAAAGAGCAAGCAGTAGACAAGTGCTTTACATAACTGCTTTATTATACAGAACTGCATAATATGAACTTATCTTTATGATATAATGCTACAGCCACGTGACTGTGGTTAAAGTGCTCTAACCTGTTATAGAAAGATTATTCAATAACTAAGGAAATAGAAGTAAACGGCTACATTCAGACCAGAAGCTAGAGATGAAGTCATGGTTTTCTTAAATACAATTGACGGCATACACATTAAAACCCTTTACATTAGGCTTCCTTTCCCAGCAAATGTTACTTTGCGCCAGGATCAACAAAGACAACTTAATCATTTATATGTAGACAGATGAATACTCAAAAAGTAGCAAATAAAAGAAAAAAAGAATTGAGCAGAAGTATAAGATGAAAATAATGAAATCATGATAATTTCACAAACATATTCTACGAGAAGAAAGTTGCATTATTCTAAGTTCAATAAATGTTTTAAAAGTTTTTCAAATATTAAATATCCTTTCCCATGGTACTTTTGCTGAGTTTGCTCCTTTATCTTGACCATGCAATATGTAACCGATATCTTAACTACTGTGATTATCATTGTTCCTATTACCAGCAGCTTAAAAATGATGGCCATTACAATCATAAATTATCCCCTTAAGCATCGCATGAGGTGGCCCAGTTTCATCAATGGTTTTAGTTCTGTCCTGAACTGGAGCAGTGCCGCTACTGTTCCGAATAATCACATTACAGTTCACACCTCCACAGGATGATTTGAAAAAAATGGCCCTAAAATTACGTAAACCGCTGTACAGGGCTCAAAAACCCGTTTAATTTAATATACCAATGAGTAACTTCGTTATATACGTAAATAATAAATGCGACGGGAGACTGGGACGAAAAGGATCGATAACTGGAGTGTGTTGCGGCCGTGGTCTGAACCTAACTAGTCTCTTCGTGAGAAATGGAAAGAAAAAAGAAAAGAAACAACAACACTGATCTACTTTACTTTCATTTCTGTACGTTTCAGAGAGTAGTAATATCCTTTAAAAGGAATCCAGTTGACGCCATCAGCCATTTAGGAGTGACTTCCATTGAGATACAACCCGTTTAGATTGGAATGATGACAGTAACTGTACCACCAGGCGCCTTTGAACTGCTGAGCACAGCTGCCGTCCGGATTTATGTCGTTGTCACTATCTCTTGTGGAGAACTGCATGTCACTACAAAAAGTTAACGCCATAAAATACGGTTTGCAAATCTTGGATTCCATCTCTTTACCCGCACAAGTCTCGAAACGAATAGATATAAAAATGTTTGCTTGCAATTTATCGGACATTTTACTTTCAACAACCTCAATTCTAAACTACTGTTTATTAAACCTTTGTTTATTCATACCGTCTCCAGCTGTCCCACTGTATCCACCAATTAGAATTCGGTATTTATCTGCTTGGTCCGCCACCTTAAATGTCGCGTACTCAGCGTATGTGATGTTACCTTCGAAGTCCCCCAGGTCAACTCTCAACGAAACGTTACCAGCGGCTGTTAAGCGATGAAGATTGTCATTTCTAAGCCAGAACTCGCCCTTCAAATCTCCGAAGCCATTCTTGTAGGACGACCAATCTCGATAGAAATCAACAGAGCCGTTAAAACGTCTCTGAAAAACAGTCCAACCTCCACCATTCATGTCACACAACACTTGCATGGCATTTCCGCCATCTGGATTTATAGTGTACACATCGCTAGATGTGACACCATCTTGATAAAGTAGAGCACAACTTTAAGGGATGGGCTCTGTTGGTTGACGAAAAAGTTGATTTGAATGGTACGCTTGGACTATAGTAGAAGTAATTTATTTTCAGCTAGTCATGAGGAGTAGAGGAGTTTGTAAACAACAATAACAGCAGATAGAAAATAGCGATCTTTTGAGCAAGATTTATCGCGTTTCCTCAGATGGAATTTCCTAAAATTTGTGAAACCATTAAACATATTTGTGCCCTCTCTAGTGCCTGTTGATAAAAACAATTCATAGGACCAAATTTGAGACAGAGGAAGATAACACAAAGTTGCAAAAAAAACTGCCTTTTTAACCTCTCTTTTTTCCGACTTTTTAATGATCGGCAGGAAAAATTGTGAACATTTTGAGAGATTTCACCGAAGCAAATTGCCAAGCAGAATGTTTCTGGCGAGCACCTCTCTTCGTGGAGCCTTAGCTTCATAACGAAAATCATTTTGTAGGTGCCTAGGTAAGGTGAATTTTTACGAACGTCGTGTTCGGATTTGGGAATTTCGCGCGAGAAAGCTCACCACGTATATTTCTGTGTACGCAAAATGATTTACTACAGAAAACGATTATCCGAACCTTACTCGTCGGCTTTCGATGGCTTTCAGTGACCTTGTAAAGCAAAATCATAATATTTTTTTACAAAAACAATACGATGGCGTGCGCGCCAACATTGAGCAAAAACCCCACAGAGCCTCCTTAAGTGCAATTCTGCAATTTTTGTTCTCGATGAAGTTGGCCCTAGCTGGTCTCTCAAATCGATCTGAGTCACTGATCTGGCACTTCCATCTCTCAGATTTGTTCTTTTTGCCTCCAAAGTTGTAAGACTTACATCGCTCCAGTCTACAAGGGCTTTCTGATTCCACCTCTATCTCCTTTATCACGCTCCCGTTGAGTTGTTTCCCGTCCATCATCTGGCCAAAATTAGCGGCTTGAAATCTGGGAAACGTGTTTGAAATGCGACTTGCTGCATAAGCAGTGACACTTATCAAGAATAATATTAGTAGGTGCATGTTTAAGCAGATAGGTAGATCAAGACGTTTCCTTAACCAAAATTGGGATGCTAAGGATATTAGTTAGACTCGTAGCGCAACTTGTTTTTGACTCTGATCCAGCCAAAGACTCGTAATCTCAATGCGCTTGGCACCTGGCAATTTTGTCTATTGTTAATTCTTACCTTTGTTTTCATGAAAATTTTTTTCCTGAATTCTTAGCCAGCACCTTTAGCACTTCGCGGTTAACATTTGGCGTAATTTCAAACAAATATGTTATGAAATCACTCTTTAAAGAGAAAAATAATTGGGACAGAAACATGTTTTAGTCTTTGTAACCTGCTTGGACCTTTCAGATAGGCTAGAATGGCAGTTCTCCATTTAATTTTTAAAAGATCCATGTGAAGAAGTCTCTTTAATTAAAGAAAAAATAGGATAGAAGTAATATTTTGCCAAGAGTTCCTTTGTTACTTGTTTTCAACAGCTTTGAAGTTGCTCTCATTAAACTCTTTTATGTGCTTATGATAGGCTAATGAGAGGTTTTCATTGTGACTGTGTGACCTAAACACAAAATGATAAGTTGGGTAAGGTACAAATGAATGAAGGGTGTAATATTCTAGAGAAACTGTAGTGGCCACCGTAAAGAGTTTCAAAGCTGACGTTTCGTGCGTTAGCCCAACGTCGCGAAACACTGCCTGTAAGAAATGCGTGACACCCTCACGAAGACTGTGTGTGAAAAAGTTCCGCACAGAGATCACTCTAAAAGCTTCTGTTTCTTGTGTTGTGCTCTCGTAAAGAAATTATATTTACATTTCACACGTTTTTACATGTGAAGTTTTCGCCACTCTTACGATGTTATACATTTACGATTCCTTTGGCTCAAAGAGAGAAAGTATTTTTAGAGTAGGAAAATAGAGTATGTAGTAATTAGTAGCGCACAAATAAGTCTTGCTAAAACAAAGCTAAAACAGAAATTAATTCATAAGAAATGTTTGAAAGGGTGTGCCTCGACAGGTGGTCATACAATTCAACAGCGTGTTTACAAAAGCTTGGCGACAATGACAGCTGCACAGCATTGAAGCCTCGTGGTTGGTTGACCATCTGTAGGTGTGTCTGGGGGAGGAAGCTAAAGAACGAAGTGAGGTTCTCACATTTGGATGCTTTCTGCCTCCAATTGCCTTGTTTTTCTTGTGAAACCAACACGGCAACCATTATCCTACGGTGTAATATAAACACTGAGCGATTTATTTCTTTAAACTTCTTATTTTAAACTTTTATCTCTCAAGAACTTCAACAATATACCTTTTCCCCAGGCCCTCAGGGCAAGTGGCTGGGTTCGAGGAGATATTGGACACGACTTACTAACTGCAGTTTTCTCTTAGGCCAACTCGTAGAAAGGTTCGATCGACCTGGGTGATCACGGTGGTTTTTCTATCCAAAGGTGAATGAAAAACCCTAGTTGCATAGCCTTCCAGTTAGAAACGATTGTAGGTGCCTGGGTAAGGTGAATTTTTACGAACGTGGTGTTTGGATTTGGGAATTTCGCGCGAGAAAGCTCACCAAGTACATTTCCGTGTACGCAAATGTTCGTTATCTGAATATGAGCTGTACTCAGAGCCTGTCGTTGTTAGTGTTTTCTTAGCGATCATATATTGTTTGTATAATAGTCTGATGCCCGTAAATTTGAAAAAAGAATGTGCTTGTACTCTTCATACTCTTCATAAAAAAATAATTGCCAGTATCCATCTACCTTCATAAAAATCTGAAGTTTAGACTTTCAACTGAATTGATAGTGTCAACATGTACCCCATAAAGTGAGATTCTACCCAAAAAGTGGAAAAGTTGGAGTGAAGAGAACTTGCTTTGATTGCCTTCCCGTAAAAATCACTCCGTATTTCTGGAGAAGACAGCATTGCATCGTGTCTCCCACAGTTCAGGGAATTGGCGCTTTGGTGTGAAACAAGTATGTAAGATCGTGTAATACATGTAAGCTTGCGGCTATTGGATGAGCATATAAATGCACTATTCAGTCATAACCGAAATACACACTGAAGTTGAATTCATCTTTAAATAAAACTTGCAGGAAAAAATCGAGTTGTATTGAAAGACCTTCAAATTTCTCGAAAGTAGATATTTCTTTGGTCAAGTTCTCAGCATATAACAATCACTCGAGCCCAGGTTCAATGCCATGTGACGAACTAAAAACGTACCGGACGAACAGTGTAACAGCACGTGTCAAATAAACTACCCTTTCAAGTCACAGTTTAAAGCGATTAAAATTTACAGATTTCGTTCGGAGGACACAGATCATAAACCTACCTCTCCTTTATGAAACCTCTTTTGCTTCTCAAGCCTCATTTTGTTGTTGTAACTTTTCCCATATTCTAAACAGGTATGACCCTCACCGAAGTCTGCCATGTTTTGGAGGTTTGTTTGTTGAAGAGAGACTAGTTCTAAATACAAACCAACATCGTTTCCAGGGTCCTCTCTCTTCTTGCCACTTACAAAACACTTCCCCAAGGGTGTTTCATCGTACGGTTATGAAATGTCTGCGGTCTTGAAGCCAGTAATTCGCTCTAACAAAGGGCTACCACTCGAAACGTCAGCTTTTAAAGTCTTTACGTTGGCCAATTTACGTTATCAACTTAGTTAATTCTACATTACCCTGTTATTCTCTTCCACGCAGCATTACAGTTACTTTAGAAACTTACCCCCTTTATTCAGAATATTTAGCTTGACAGTTAGCTTGACACATCTAATCTAGTATCCAGACATTCCACGACCACTTCAGGTAGGATCTGGGTACGAGATTATGACATAGCCTCTCTGGCAGGGTTGAGAGGGGGAGGAGTAACCGCTTTAAGTAGCCTAGGTTAATGTGACCTGAACACAAGAGATCCTCGACCTGTTATCAAATAACTCAGCCCAGACTTAATGCATGGTACCACTCCTAACAATTTCGCAAATATACTTGACATTCCCGCGTTAAACTTCTGATGCAGAAAACACCATTTATGTCGGTAATTGCCCGATTTTTTAAAGTCAGGATATGTGACTGCTCGCAGCTATTGCGCACAATAATTATGAGGTGCTGTGCGTTCGGGCCTGGACAACCGCAATAAAGAGTAAGCAGTAGACAAGTGCTTTACATAACTGCTTTATTATACAGAACTGCTTAATATGAAGTAATTTTTAGGATATTATAGAATGGTACAGCCACGTGACTGTGGTTAAGGTGCTCTAGACTGTTATAACAAGTTAATTTGATAACTAGGGAAATAAACCTGGAAAAGGAGTAAACGGCTACATTAAGACCAGAAGCTAGAGATGAAGTCATGGTTTTCTTTAATACTATTGACGGCATACGCATTAAAACCCTTACATTAAGCTCCCTCTCCAAAAAAATGTTACTTTGCGCCAGGATCAATAAAGAAAAATTAATCATTTATATGTAGAAAGAAGAATACTCAAAAAGTGGCAAATTAACAAAAAATGAGAGTTGAACTGAAGTATATGTTGAAAATAATGAAATGATAATAATTTCACACACATATTCTATGAAAAGAAAGCTGCGGTTTTCTTAGTTCAAAAAATGTTTTAATGGTGATCCAAATATTGAGTTTACTCCTTTACCTAGACCATGCAATATGTAACCAATATTTCAACTTCTGTAATTATATTTGTTCCTATTACCAGAACCTTAAAAATAATGACCATTAGAATAATAAATTATCTCCTTTAGCATTGCCAGAGGTGGCCCAGTTTCGCCAGTGGTTTTAATTCTACTTTGAACTGGTTGAAGCGGTGCCGCTAATGTGCCGAAGAATCACATTACAATTCACACCTCTACAGGATGATTTGGAAATGGCCCTAAATTTATGTAAACCGCTGTACAGGGCTCAAAGCCCGATCAATAAACCAATGTGTAGC